AATCTCTTTTCATGAATTTAACCCTGCTCTTTCCTCCTGGACAAGGCAAAAGGAAAATGCCCCAAAAGGTTCCTGGCTGCAGCAATTAAGGTTGTATCTCTTGCTGGCTTCTGGTCAGCCTTCAGAGAATCAAGATACTCAAAATAGCCTATAAGAAAGAAAAAAACCAAACTAAAACAAAACAAACTCAAACCCCAAACCCCAGCATCCAAACCCTGGCTTGTTATTTGTCTTCTATTACATTTTCTGCTCTTGGAGAGTGAAGAGGAAACCAATGGTTCCTGTAATCTTCATCTTCTGTGGAGAGCAGGGTACATTTTTTCCAGTTAATAACTGGGGAGAGACAAATATCTTTATGGCAAATGGATGGATGTTAAAGAAAAAAATCAGCACGTGATTGAACAAGGGAATCTCTACTAGCTGACCAAGAGTAATTGGTTTTGGGTGTTATTTACCATAGTGAAGGTTCCACTTTTCACTTTTCATTAAACTGCTCTAGACTTCTATGCAAATAAGAGCAAAACTTATTCATTAGTTCAGCTGAATATCACCTCTATGTAGGAGAAACCTTATGAAATGTAGAAAAACCAACACTATGCAACCATACATTTGTCATCAATCAATGAAATATTGCATGGCTTTTTCTGAAAGTGCATGTGGTGTCAGATGAACCAAGCATTATTTCTGGAACCCTTTGTATAGTCTTAATTGCCTAAAATTACTGCTGAAGTTGTTTCTACAAACCAGTGGATGAAACAGGTGCACTGTACACCTCACCCTCCCAAACTGCCTTGGGGCACAATGTTCTGCCCTACTCCTGATTTTATTCCAGGGAAAATTTATCAAGTGTATAAATCAAGTATATTGCACAGGGTCTGGCCCACAATTGTTTTGCAGTCCCAGAATTTCCTTTTCTATCCTTTTTGCCCAAGAGGTCCAGTGAGGCTCCCTGAGTTCCTCACTAACTGAACAAAATCACTAGATGAATCTTTTTCCTTTTTTTGTATTTTTAATAATGCAATTGAAGTGTTACCAGCTCATATAGTCTTTCACCAGCCTCTTTTTAACTGAGCTCTGGTATTATCACATCTGAGTGCCAGCAATATCAACTTCCATTTGAAAAAAGGTTGCTGTCTCTTATAGCTGTAAAGCAAAAAAAACTGGGTATCCCTATAGGCGCAAAAACTCCAATTTTTTTTTTAATGGCATCATTATAAAGCTCAACTCACAGATGCTGTTGCCTTGCTGACATTGAGAGGGGAAAATTCAGATGACAGAGAAAATCTGTCCTGAATTTATAGCAACATGTGGCCCAGTTGTCTGTCTCTTCCCTTCCAGAATGGAGAAGAACAGAGCAGACTTCCAACTGCTGCAAAGTGTCATTGTCTTTGACATATAGGTCAACATATAGATTTGAGGATCAGGAAGAACTGAATGTTCCTTTCTATACATAGATTTTAACATAAAAGTTACTACAGCATGCTAAGGCTGCAAACTGGTACTAATCTTTTCTTTGCATCCATGTAACCTCAGGGTTTGGTTTTTTTTAATATATTAGACTTTTTTTCCCCTGAATTTTGGCCTTACACGCAAATATCCATAAGCATATTGAAAAGCACGTTTTAAAGCCTGGAAATGCTCATAAATCAGTAGAGTGATACTTGTAATAATTTCTGTGAGTGGGTGTTCCTGTGCATGGGAAGATATGCAAAACTGGACAGTGAGATGAGCCGTGATGAACATTAAAGGTCCGGAAGCAGATCGATAGCTGGTGTCAATTGCCAGGGCTTCATTGATTCCAATGGTGCCACAATAAATCCTAATTCAGCTGGAGCTGAAAACATTGTCATCATCTTATCAGCTGCTCTGTGACACTGGAGAATGCAGAATGAGGGGCAGGCCTTGCCTCCACACCTCTGAGTGGTGCCAAAAGGTAAAATTCCCCCGTTAGTCTCATGCTTTGAAATCTCCTTTATTGGCGGCATGTGGGTATGCATGTGCAGACAGATGCATATGTACACAAGAAGGCATTTTCTGAGACAAATACACAGCTTCTACTGCTGTGATGGTACTTTTATCTTCAATTGAAAACAAAATAAATTTCAAGAGACTGTATAAAATTTGCTTGTACAAATTTGTTGCACTTCTATGAGGTTTTTCATTCATCCCAGTAGCAAAGGGTCATGAAACTCAGGTTTTAATCCATGATTTACATACAATACTCAAATTCTTTTTCAAAACTAAAGCTTATTACAGAAATGATAGTTTCCCAGGAGTACAAATTACTGAGAATTATAATATCAACAAAAAGGAACGAAGCCAGGTTGCATATAAAAATCTACACCTCCTAGGTGGCTCTCAACAGGTTTTTTTTCTAAACATTTTCCACCGATAAAGTTCATTATCTTGTTCTAACAATTTCCCATTTCACAAAGTTAAGGTTTTACTGAACCTGCATATAAGAAATTGATTATACAGTGGCATGAACAGAACCTGAGAAAAGGGACTTTGTGCATGGCTGGTGATGAACTCATCAATTCTGCTGCAAAGTTCTCTTGAACACCTTATCAAATGCTGCTAATTTTCTGGTCGGCATACAAATGTATTGATGTGCCAGAATGTAATCAAATAAGAATGTTTAGAGTAAAAGCTCATTTGCCATGTTTCATATTGTTCATATTTACTTGGAGGCCTCAGGAGGGCATCTTAATCTTATAGTGTTATTATTTCAAATAGAAAAGGAGATTTTTAATGTTATTTGGAGAAAGTCTCTTAGCTTGCAGACTGAGGGGGGAAAAATCCAACCAGAACTGCTGCAACAGATATTTTGACAAAAGCTTTGAATGAAAAATAACAAAACCTCTGAAGGGAATTTCCCATTAATCTAATTTATTTGGAAGCACATTTTCACAATAATAATTAAATTATCTAACGTTCGCTTACATTAAAAAGCGACCATCTGTAACTGTTCAGTACTAGAAAAAAGGTGGGGGGAAAGGCCAATGTTTTAAACTAACATCACAGGGAAAAAGCAACAACTTCCAAACATCAAAGGAATACCATGATGTTTGACAGCTTCCTGTGAAGTCAGCTGTTTCATCTCCTAGTGAAGTTGGCAACCGAAATTCCAGCATCTTCTGTGCAGTGGTGTCTTTAAAACTGTAAAACATGTTTATTTGTTAGACCTCTATTCATCCGGTTTTCAGGGGGTGTGAGAAACAAAAACATCCAATAATTAAAGACTTGTGACACAGGAATCCATGTTTAGTACAGACAACAAAAATAACAACTGCATTTTCCTATGGAGGATTTTATCCAGGAGGTTCATCCATGCCTTGCAAGTCTTCCGTGGGAGGAGAACACCAGGTACAACCAACTGAGATACCATTGAGCAAAATGCGTTTTTTATCGGTTTTATTTCTCCTAGAAATGTCAGCACAGCACATTATATTGCCTGTAATTTCAATAGATAAACGAGACAATGATTCCATTGTTATTTTTTTTTTCTCAAAATGGTAGAATACATTTTCTTAAAAAGGTCTGCAAACATATTTACAAAAGTGTGAAATCAATAAATGCAGGCTCTTTATATTTTTACTGAACTTCCAAAGACTGACTGATATCCTAATTTTATTGGAAATCTGGTCCAAGGATGATACAAGAAATTAAATATCACACTCAATTTTGCTTTTGTGTATGCTACCATGATAAACAAATCAAATAGATAAAATATCTTGAAAAGAACAAACTTATATTCCATGAAGCACATGAAGATATTCCAAAACCATTTCTTATCTTTTCATTTCAGCTTTAAAACATCTCTTGCTCTTTCTCAATGTTATGTTAAAACGTGGGACACCATCTTACTTTTGGAAAGCCAGCTGCTGTAATGTCAGTATAAAGTAGCCACTAAAATATCATTCACAGTATCTGCATCACAGGAATGGACTTTTTTTTTTCCCAAACAGGAGTGACAAAATTTGTGTTGTTGCCTTCATCTTTCACATTTTAAATACTATTGGCTGACAGAAATAAAGTGTAGTGTCATGCTTGGTTTACCTAAATCATTTATTTTGTAACTAATAAAAGTAAACAATTACCAGATACTGTATATATAGAGATATATAGATATATGGCCACAAAGAAACTATAGTAGAAAGTTATTTTGGTTTTGATAAAGTTAAGAAAAGCACATAAAATCATATTTCATTAATATCTTGTTTTATGGCCATCAATATTTTTGTATTTTTTTTTCTTTTGTTTCATCAACATAGCAAAATACAATCTTCTTATTAAACAATAATTATCAGATGGCAGACAATTCTTTTTATTGGTTTACATTGGCAGGTCACAGTCTAAAAGCACAACCACATCAGGCAGAAATTGCACACAGACCGCCCTGGATTTTGAAGACTATTTTTTATGCTTCTACAAAAAGACCTTGATTTAAAACTGGGGACTGTAACAAGTACTAAGTACATGTTTGGGTTTTTGGTTTTGTTTTGGGGGGTTTTTTTTGGGTTTTTTTTTTGTTAAATAGGGATGTAAAATAACTGAAATTGCAGTATTTATTTTGGTTTCAGCTTTATTTTTAATGTCTGCGCTCGATGTTAGCAAACATACTTTAAACTTCACAGCAATCTTTTATAATAAAAGTTCAATCACCTAAAAAAACCCAGGTGATTTTTTTTGTTCTCATCATGGACTATTGCAGATTTTTTTCAATTTGGCCTGTTCCTTGCCTTTTTTTTTTTTTTTTTTGGTGTCAATATTGTATTTTTAACTCATTTCTGAAATCTGGAGGAGATTTACATGTGATGACAGTCACAATGTCCATATTTCTGTAAGAAATAGCTATGATGGGGCTGGCCTATAAATATGCAGTTTTATTAATTGTAGAAGGCACCCTCATGTCTTCAAAAACCAGACTGGTCTTAAGATATTACTCTTTATTTGAGACAGTTACCATTACTTCATTAAAAAATGACAAAACAGCAATAAACATTTTAGCTCTTTAATGAGCAAAGATCAGGTCTCTTAACATTGGAATAATATTCGTTATCCAGATTATCTTTATTTCACTCAGTGACCAGTAATATGGCCAAGAAATACAAAGTAATTTTCCATCAAGTAGTATACAATTTTTGTGTGTAATAAGCTTTCATTCTTGAAAAAGAGTAACTGAAAAGAAATGTTTCTGTTACTGCAGTTAGTTTGTCAGAGAAAGTTCTTCGCATTATCTTACAAACTATCAAAATTGCTAGTAATTTGAAAAAATGTAAAAAAAAATCACATAACTTTAGTCTAATAGAAATATAGTACAGGTAAGAGAGAAAGTATTTATCAGGGATGTGCTCTTAAGTCCATCTCAATTATTTCTTTTATATAAATGTACATCTGATTACATATACAAACGTTTTGAAAGGACCATGGTATAGAATTACTGGAAAGCAACAGGGGAATGAAAAATTTCTTGTGATTTTAGAACATTCACTTCAAATCACACAAACATATGTAGTATCCAGATTTTTAAATTTCCAGTTGTTGGCTCTCTCCCCTTTCTCATATACCCTCTTTTTCTACACTCTTGCCATCTGGTCTAGAGAATTAATTGGAATGACAAAGCTAATGTATAGCAAAAAGGGAATTAACATTATATTAAAGTATTATAAGTAAATTTTGTTAACATGCAACATGAGTTGAAACAATAAACTGAAAGGTGTAATCAGAGCGGAAATATTGGGGCAATTTTAAATGGCAAAATGTCATTGCAATTAAATTTTTGGACACACTTTACCTCATCAATTTGAACAAAATACTCTGAAATTAAATCACAGCAAATTATAAATCTTTCATCAAAGGAGATTCCATTAAAGTTATAGTTATTTCAAAGTCAGAAATTATTTAGGTGGAAAGGAAAAAGAACATTAATAGTATACAATTTTTTGTCTGGGATTCATATCAGTGAGGGTCCACCACTGTTTACCTAGAATGCCATCAATACCTTTAAGAACTGTTGCAATCCCTTCTTTTTCAGAAGCTACCATGAAATATTTTACTGTGATTACTTTTGCCCCTTTAAAAAACTTCTTTAGGTTGTGCCAATTGATGGAGAAAGCTTCTATTAAAAACTCCAATGGGATGAGAAGAATTTTAATTACGGCTTAATCAGCAGCACAGCCACCAAGCATATAAATTATCATGCACATCGTGCTAAAAATATCCAGTTTCCTTTATTCCCACAACTTTTATACTGACAGCACTTATGTGATAATGTTGTACCTGCCAGGCTGTAAAACTTCTCTGACTGGCAGATTTCAGCATGAGCCCCTTTCTAAGGCCTTAACAGCATTGGTGCTTTGTGTACTTATTCAAATATGTAAATATGGTCTACACAAGAAAACAGGTCCAAATAAAAATTGGTGAAAATTATCTGACATTCCATTAGTGTGTCCCTTGTGCATATTTATAGGTTTTTAAAATTTTCAGTCATAGTTCTTTCCTGTTTGTGTTGCACATGCCTAATTCCATTACGTAACTTAAATCTTCAAAAAATTAATACTTGAATGTGAATGAAAAAGTATCATTCAGGACAACTGCTTCAAGCAATTGCAAACAGTTGGGTTTTTTGTTTTTAGTTTCTTTTTTTCTTTTGTTTTGTTTGTTTCTTAAGTTCATTTGATATATGTACAATTCATTTTTTTTCAAAACCCCAAATGTTCTTGATATGTATATTCACATAATATTCCTCCATATTTAAATAGTAAGAGTCTTGTAGGTTGAAAGCCAAGTAATCTTCAGTAATATCACCTACTGTAATCCATCGAAAAATAAAAGTTTGTTTCGTCTTGTCTGGCTATACCCTGGTTGTTGAGTGTGAATGGGGGTGGGGATGAGGATGGGGCAGAGTATTGTTCTGTCCTCCAGTAAATGTGTTGAATGTGTGTAGGGGCTGAATCCCTGGTATAGTGTTGGGGATCATTGTGATGGTGTTGGGTGTCATTAAGGGGATATCATCAGGAGACCTCCTCATAGCTAGCGTGTAGTCTGGGGGACAGGCGGTCCTGAGAACCACCTCATGTGGATGGATGGACTCACATTCATGATCCAAGTCAGTGTGCTTCATTTGGAGGGACATTATCTCCTCTTCTTGTGCATGGGTGAGATCATTGGTAGTGGTACGTTGTGGGCTACATCTCCTGTGGACATCATGTCTCCTCTTGTCCTTTTTGTAGTACAACGCTGCAAAGGCCAAAATGTTCAGGAACAGCAAAGATGCGCCAACTGCGATAGTAACGCTCAACTCTGTTGAGTAGTCCCTTTGATCCACTGAAAATGGGCTTGGCTGCTGTTTGGGATCGTCTTGTTTGGCTGTAGGAAAGGCTGAAGTAACTGAAACAGAATTTTTCCTTGTGGGTCTGAAAGTATTATCAGTCGATGGCACTTTAGTTGTGGTAGAGGTATACTGTGAAATGTCGTTAAGATTGTGCAGATGAGGTACCAGTTCCAACCAAAGGTTCACTTTATTGGCCCTATAGTGTTCTTTAACTCGTGGTTTTAATCCAATGTGAAGATACAGTTGGTCTTTCTGAGAATATCTGGTCCATGCTACTTCTTCAAAACGATTTGGTTTTGTGTGGATGAATTTTGTGTCTTGCGGCACTGGTTGATTTGGGTCACTGAAAGAAAAAGATATCTCCAATGTTACAAAGCATTTCAAATGGAATTGTAAAATTAACATAATTAAGATTTTATACTAAACGTTTAAGACTGCCTTTCAACAGAGTAGAGGGCTATTCCCTAAAATTAGAGGCCTTAATAATATTGATTAGAAACAGCATTATGCAAAAGAATCCTTCTTTTACACAGACTTCAGCAACTTTCCTTGTTCTCCAAAATATTGGTGTCTCACAGTGAAATCTTTTGCTGCTGAAGGAAGATTGCCTGGGGTGTGGTGATGTGGCCAAATGTCTGTGAGACACCAGAGAAAACATTAAGATTTTTTTCCTGGTTTTAGCAGCATAAAGTTCGTGCAGCTCTGCATTTCTGTTCCTGTGAATCATCTGTGGCCTTCCAGAGGGGAAGGATCATGGCAGAGCACAACTCACTGCAATGCATAATCAAAAATAAGTAGGCAAATGTAACAAAGGTTTTTGAACTCCAGTGAAAAAAAAGAGCTAATGAAAATGGCAAAACTTTCCAAGTTTAAAGCCACATTTTTTATGGTCAGAAGTGAGAATTTAGGACAAAATATGCTACTAAAATAAGCTGTATTATATTCGAAGCAATATTTATGTCATTTTCTATCTTATGGAATGAAAGTATCAGTGGTAGGGGAAAGGCAGGTACTAATGCAGATGATTTTAACTCTACACAGATGTTAAATGCTTAGTTTTACACTTTTTCAGAGTTTCCTTAATTAGTTTTGTATATATTTTAAAATTTCCTCGCAGGAAGCCTGCAAAGATATTTTCCCCCTCTTTTTCCAAAAACATTAAGTGAGCCAAGGGACATTACAGTAAACATAAATATCCAACTCAATTCTTAATCTCTTGCTCATCCTACAAGTACAGAGGAATTCCCAAGGGAGATAACAAATGGAAAGCACCATTCTATCCAAAGTTTGCCTACAAGACCATTCATTATCTGGTACTCACCCAGTTTTTGCAAAGTTTGTCCAGTACGTCATCACCACTGCACTTAGCATGACATCATTTTTGGAGAAATTACAAGGAAATAACTCAGTAGGACCAATCATGGGGATTCCTAGTACGTAAGGAACCTCGTCTCCATGGGCTGCATCTGCCCATGCAGGTACCTGATCTGTCTGGCAATGATGGTAGAAGGCATAGAAGTACGTAGGCGATCCAAAATTCGAGTGAAGATCAGCTGTGGCCACTGCTGGAGCAACCCACTGGTGATCAGTGAACAAAGCCAGCAGTGTTTTCCTTCTGGTCTCGGGGTTGTGCCGGTCTGCCCAGTCTGTGTACATAAATTTAATAGTTTCCCTCAATATATCTTTGCCTTCGGGGTATCCGTATAAGTTATCGACGAAATTAGAAACCGCAAAGTCAAAATCGCTGGCTGATATGCCGTCTTCGCTGTCCACGATGTTTTCAACAAACTTCAGCCCTTCCCCTTGGTTAACTCCCAGCATGATGTCATAGTTGAGGAACTCTCCCTGCTCCATCAGGATCTGAGGGTCGTCTGGTATCACGTCGCCGTCGATGACTGGTCCAAAGGCTATGTGGTATCTTGCTGGTTGGATGTCCTGGTCGACAAGTTCTCTGTAAGGCTTCTTCTGCAGACATTCCACAGTTCTACAGTGTCTGACATGTTGCAACCAACTTTTGTAGCCAACATCCTGGCGTATTTTGCGGGCTGAAAGCTAACCGCCCAGCTGGAGAGAGCTGTTCCACTTTGAGCTATTGCTCTTTGAAAAAGTCCTGTGGGGAGAAATATTTGAAAACTACTGAAGCGACCTTGAAGCAGCCACAGACTTTGAAAGATTCAAAGGAGTTCTTTGAAACAATAGAAAACTTTAACAGAAGAGATACCTGAATCTTAATAGTACTTAAATATAAGGGGTGGTGAGATCTGACTGCTGTTTTACCTACAGGTAATGTGCAAAAAATAAATGCAGTATGTGCTAAAGCAAATGATTCTCCCTCAATATACTCCAGATTTTCAAAAGAAACTCAGAAAGAAAAAGGAGTGGCATTACCTTATGTAGGACAACACTATCAGGTTAAAAAAAATTCCTAAAATTAAAGCACCATATAGGTTGGAGTAAAAACCATCAAGTGTCTGAAATGGATTGAAGTTTTTGGTATTGTTCAAGCCTTCATCAGCATGCATGCATAGAACTACGTGTGAAATTAATCTATTAAACTTTTTAATGTTTTCTTTGGAATTGAACTTGGTTTGATAGGTGCCGTGCTTTTAAATTGTGTATCACTGCAAAAGTTTATATTCTGGAGTAATAGATGAGAAGGTACCAGGCAGCTATTAAATTTATAAGTGGTCTAAGTCAAAATCTTTTCTTGTAAGGAGCTTTTTTAAGGCAGGTTTATATTGATCCCACTTACATAAAAAGGGAAATGATGTATTTTACACTGTTTAGCTTTGTAATTCAGATATTTAAACATATGTTCAGGTATTCAGTTAAGGGAGAGAGAATGATCTGGCACTGCATATAAACCTGCAGTAAATCCCTAAGTCTTCAGTGCATTTAACTTGAATTTATGCTGATTTAAGTATCACCCTGGACCAGGAATTCTACCCAAAGAAATAACAAAATGCATTAAAATTTATGTTTTCCTCTCCCTTCTGTAAGGATTTTTAAAACATGTCCTGGATGATAGCCTCACCCTCTTGTAGTGAGATTAATACAATGAATTAGTGAATTAATACAATTATTTTGCTATTGGCTTCAGTGTAATCAGAACTCCATCCTTGCTTTGATTTCTTGTGCTTCCTTTGTGTTTTTCCACTCCATTTAAGGAGGGTGCTTTGGGTTCTGAAAGAGAGAAGAAGACTGAACCTTGTGTAAAATATTGCTCAGAAACTATATTTAGGTAATTTAGGTGGTATTTAATAGATGTTTAGACAGTATTTAGGTAATGATGGCCTTTCTGCTGTTTTGTGAGGAGTTTGGGTTTTTTTTTCATTTTCACATAAATTCATTTCAGTGTCATAACTTGAGCACAAACTACTGGAAAATATTTTATACTGGACTCTGCCTCCTATAGGTCACTCTGGGTGATACAAAATGGTCTGTAGTGTTCAAAAGTTACGCTGATTTAAGATATATGGGTCAAAATTTTGGTTTACTTGTGCAGATGGGCACCTGGAGTCATTCCACCGTCTCTGGTGGAGTCACTTTTGAACTGAAAGTGACACCTGGCCTCACTCAGTTCCACCAGGAATCTTTCTGCAATGCTTGATGAATAGCTGGATGCTCCCACCAGAGGAACTGGAGTCAGGGCTCTCAGCCTACCACAGAAATTTATTCCAATTATGCACAAGATGGTTTTTGCATTGATAAGCAACATATTTCTATTGATAAAAAAACCTCCCTAGCCTCTAAATCAAATCAGAAATGCTTTTACAGCTTCTGTTGCAGCACCAGACTCTGCACACTCAAAAATAAGTTGGAATCTCTTGCTGGCAGGAAACAAGCTCCTCAGGAATTTTAAATCATTCAATGATTTAAATCATTTTATTAGCTCCCAATAAAAAAATTCTTCAAATTAGGTAGGTATAGAGACTGAAATGTATAAACTCAGGCTGCTTCTTAAACTTATGAAAACTCATATCCAAAATAATATTTTCTTGCAAGATATGAGTAAAAGTAAGAATGAACTTGAGCTATAAAAAGCTAAAATATATTTGCATGTTTATAAGGTCAGATATTGAGCGAGTATAAATCAGCTCAAAGTCAGTAGAATTACCACAGAGGATCCAGGCATTGTAATAAATGTAACTAAATGACAAAGCTGAATTTTCACCAAGATGTATTTCATGATAATTCATAATGTGTGTGGGTTTTTGCATATTGTGTAAATCTAACTTTATTGCTTTACTAAATATGTCTGAACAAGGACAGAAAGTGTAAGCTATGTGTAAGAAAATGCTGATACAAACACTGTGGCTTACTAAGTGCTACATAAACATCAGATGCTGGATTAAGTAAAAGTGGTCAAGTCCTTTGGCCATAAAACCATCTGAGGAAATGAAACCAAAATTCCCTCCTTGTGCTGAAGAATGCTGACAGAGCTATTCCTCCACTCAAACCATTTGGTGAAAAATGAACAGTATGAAAAATTATTTTCATTCTGTCACAGAATTTGTGGCAGAAATTTGTACCTCACAGGATGGAGAACTACATTTTTATATGATAATGTGTATTATTATTATTGTTGTTGTTGTTGTTGTTGCTTATGGGCTTCAGACTGATGGAAAAAAGATTTAAATGTTCAATGGGCCACAGTGCTTTGTGACCCTTATTCAGTGTCTCACCACAGTAAGTAATAATAATTTGCATATATTCATCTGTATTTTAAGAGCACTTTGTGAAGATGGGTGCTGCTCTGCCCACTTGCAGGTGGGAGGCTGTGAACAGCTCCACCTTGAAATAGGCTGAATTCTTCCTCTCACTGCCAAGGGAATCTTTCAGAGGGAGATGCCAGAAGCAAAGAGAGCTTCTGAATTTCATCTTATGAGAGAGATTGGTTGATAATCATAGAATCACAGAATTCCAGAATGGTTTGGTTTGGAAGGGACCTTGAAGCTCATCCAGCTCCACCCCCTGCCATGGGCAGGGACACCTTCCACTATCCCAGGTTGCTCCAAGCCCCATCCAAACTGGTCCTGGACACTTCCAGGGATGGGGCAGCCTCAGCTTCTCTGGGCAGCTGTGCCAGGGCCTCACCATCCTCAGAGAGAAGAATTTCCTCATAATATCTGACCTAACCCTGCCCTCTGTCAGTTTGAAGCCCTTCCCCCTCGTCTATCACTGCATGATTTTGTGAAAAGTCCTTCTCCATCTCTCATATGTAAATGTGAAAAAACATGAAACAAAAAGGGGGTTTGGAAATGTCAAGAAATAACTACTTATTTGAACCTGACCAATTAATATTTTCTTTTTTCTTTTTTTTTTTTTTAATGGTAGATCTAACCACCTCCAAATGAAACATAACGTGGGAGTGTGGTGATTTGTTCTGTTTAATCCAAATTTCATCAAAGCATGAGTTTGCTTCTAAAAGAAATCCTCAAAAATTTACTTTTACTGAACCTTCTTCAGACCCCTCTAAAATGCCTTGATCTGCTCTGTTGGCATCAAAGTGCCTCAGTTTTCCCCAAATAAATTCTGGTCTGGTCCTGGCAGAATTCTGGCCATGTGTTGGCATATTTGCTGATAAGAGGCAACACATGACTGTCCAAATATTGTCAATGTGGCATTTTGCATTGATGTCATGTTACACCAAGAAGATTGATTTCAACACAAAGTAAAGAGTTAGGGGAAGATAAACCAGGTGTCCTCATTCAGCCTGGAGTTAATCCTTAATGAGAAAGTTGGTTTTTAGAGCTCTGATGAAAGACGATGGCGCACTGACATCCTCAGGTCACAGTGCAGTGAGGTACTGCTTACATCTTGATTTTACAAGCATCTTCTTTTAAATATTCCCTATGTAAGTTCAGGTAGTTATGGAAGAAAAAAAGATTACACTAAAAATCAAATTGTGAAAATAGACTTAAATTTAGACCACAGTCTTATTTTCCACTTGACTCTTCTTGTAGAAGTTATATTTTTCTCTCATTTAAAAAAGCATAATGGCATGGTCTAAAGAATCTCTCACTTCTATTGACCTCAGTGGTCTTTGTAACATGACTTTGGGGAAATGCAGCTCTTTTAATGTCAGCAGAATTATGTTTTTATGACCAGCCAATTAGTCCCCCATGGAGATACAGCAATATAAATTAGTGGAGGATTAACTGCACAGGACACCATGTGGTGTCCCTGATAAAACTAATACAGATAAAAAATATGTAAAAACAGTTATACAAAAGTAACATGATCAATAAGCAATAGCCATGCAAATGAGAGACACTGTGTGAAACTGTGGTGCAAAAATCATAGAAAGAATAAGTTAGGTGCCTCAAACGGCATGATTTTAATTCCCTGCCACCTGCCTCAACTAGAGAGAAAATGTGTTAGTTATGGAATAGGAAAAAACATATAGAAGGAAGTCCATTTGCAACTTGGATGCTTTGACAATTTTGGATCATGCATGCAAAACGTTCAACCATTCTTTTATTAGATGACAGCAAGTGAAGTCCATGCAGTTTCAGACAAAAGATTTCTGAACTAGTTATTGTTTCCTTCACACAAAATAATAGTTTTAAGCAATTCAGCTGTTAGCCTGAAAAGAGAAACTCTGTCATTTTAGTTTTCTTTAAATTCTGCTCCTCAGGAGAAACTAAACATGCCTTTCACAACTGTCTGAATATAGATGACCTCATCTACTGTGAGCATGACTGACTGATTTTCCAAAAAAGACACCCTTAGGTAGGAAAGAAAAGAGACAAAAATGATGCACCAAGAAAAATGCCGTTCAGAAGTCTGCTATAAAGTGTTTCTACAAAGCTCCCTAGGAAAAAGAAGAAAGTGACCCAAAATTTAAACATGCACAGAAGAGCTGAGGGAGAAGGAGGCTTGTACAGCCTTTAAAAAGTTTCTTAATACTGAGCTGAACTCAACAGTTCATAGAAACAAAGAGAATATACAGAACATCACATAGTACTAATGGTGGTGGCATGCAGACACCAAAATTGTCAAAATTTGCAACCTGTATAATACCTTTGGTTGAATTGCTCCAACGGTTACCTTCAGAATAATGGGATAAAGTCAACAGATTGACGCATGAACCGCCTGCCCCAGATCCAAAAACAGTTATTCTTAATGGGTCACCACCAAAGAACCCAATATTTTCACTAGTCCATCGCAAAGCTTGAATTAGATCAAGGAGGCCATAGTTTCCTTTTGCTGCTTGGTCCCCAGTGCTCAGAAATCCTGTCAAAGTAAATGAAAAGAGAAGGGGTTAGCAAGGGTTCTTCTGAGTGATCCTGTTAAAATCTTCCAAGATTTCACAAGTATATGCTATTAAATATCGTGCAACTACATACTTTCCCATAGTCTCTGGGAACAATTTGTAATTTTACTCTTCTGAAATAAAATATATTTGATACCCACTCTTTTGACCATGATAAATATATGTAGTAAAGACACATCCTAGGCAAAACACTCATTTAAATCTGAACAGGTCCTCCCAAGGACTTTTTGTTGGTTGCACTGATTTTAAAAGTAGAAGTGTAGGAAACAGATAAGATGCAGTTGTTCTGTACATAATTTGATCAACTCTGTGTTGCTTTTCTGTACTTGGATGCAGCTTTGCATGTGCTTGAGATGCAATGAATTCAATTCCCCAAAGACTCTTTGGTCCTGCCCTGGCAACTCATTGTCATTTACCTTTTTCTCCACCCAAAAATGCAGCTCATGTCTCAGGACAGGCCAGGCTGAACAATGGGAACAGCTCTCAGCTCCCTGAGCTCCATCCCATAACCATGAACCTGAGTTAATTGAATCTACATTAAATGGATGAAGTCAATGTTTCCATGATCTCTTAAAACCAAAAGGGTAGGAGCTTGGGGGTAATCTGGAGAGCACAGTAAAATGTACAGTAAAAACTCTGAAGAAAGTCTCTGTTGATAAAAGACATTGCTTTTGGACCCCATTTGTTGACATTTTGAATTTTCTCAGCTTAATAAACAAATGTTTAAATACCACCAGCATTATGAAATAGTCCATATCTCCATTTGCATATCAAACTGATTTGATGCTCACTAAGTCGTGTAACTGCTTTTCAGTACATGCTTTGTAGAGAAATGCAATGATTACAACAATTATTTCCACATTAATTAGATATCAGTGGGTCTTCTAGTCTCGTCAAAGTTCTACTGATTCAACTCTCTTGAGTGCAGACAGCCTACTCAAAGGAAGTTTACAGTAGTTTTGCAGACAAATGGCTCTCAAAGGAGTCCTACTCTTTCATTATGACAATAAAAGCAGCTTTTAAGACATTTCTAAGAAGACACATGTGTGTATATATATATATAGCAAGGATTTAACAAGAATACAGATAGGTGCATGTGTGTACTTATATTCATGGATATAATGAATGTGTCATCTGTTACTTTATTATTACTCTGATTTGGCTTCAAATGGCAAGCTTGCATTTGATGTTCTGCCCTGTGCATAGAGACATTTATACTGACAGCCCTTCTTTGCTGTAAATGGCACTGGAAGCTCGTTGGCCTCCCTGCCTCAGCAGCTGAGCTCTGCTCCATTTAGGGCGAGCAGCTTTGTTTGTGTAGGTCACAATCCTGATTTTTGTAACCGCAGAGAGGGAAGAGGAAAGTGGCATAAGGTGCCAGGCCAGCAATTCTCCCACTTCCAGACCTAATTCACCAAGGCTAATGGACATACTTCATTCATTGTATCTGTAGTGAATTGTTACTCTATGCTAGACTTTAAAAGATCCACCCTTCTATAACTGAAACCTGCCATGTTTATTACCTAACTGCAGTAAAAGCAAAGTAGCACCACTACCATGGAAGAAAATACCCCTTGATATTCAGGAGAAGCCTAGAAAAGGAAGACACAGTTATAATTCATTTATTCATTCATTCTCAGTTTTCTATTACAGCTCAGCACTGAGTTGAGATCATTATGATGTTATTTTACTCTGCTTCACTTTGCTCTGTGTGGCCAGGGTGTTGGTGAGCATGGCTGTGTAAAAGCACTGCCCCAGCACAATCCTGCCTGCACAGGAACATTCATTCTTGGCTTCATGGTCCAGTAAAATGCTGTCTCCATAAATAATTTTTGAGGACACGGGGAGATGATGTCTTTGAATACGATGGCAAATCTAATGAAAGCTGCCTAACCAGTGTCGCTGCCTTTGCCAGCCTGCTTGGAGCTGAGGGATGGTACCAGGGGCTGGAACAAAATTAAAATGTAGGAATTTATGGGAGCTACAGGATCTCATAAATGTGGCTGTACACGCTGGGAAAGCCTTCCCCTTTCTTTGCATAAGTGTATGGCTGTGGAAATTCAGTGAGAAATCAGTTCATCACATTAAGCACAGAAGTGCCTGCATTGATTCAGGGGATTAGAGGGACTGGCAGTGCCTAGCACAGGCAGCAATGAGAAGAGAGCAGTTACCAAAACTGTGACATGAACACATAGTCCCTCTTTGCTTTTTGCTTTCCCTGCCTTTTAGATTCCCTGAGCCTGGTCAGGATCTGCCCTCGGCAGAGCCGCAGCATTGCTTCCAAGAGATCCAGGAGATTTCTTAGAATTATTCCAAGGCATTTATTAGGAAATTAGATGGTGTGATTATAGCTGAGCTACACTGATCACTCTGAACACAAATGCAAACACTCAAACTTACTGAAAAAGTTGCTTTCTTTACTCTGTATGATATGCAACAAAGTAGAAACCATAAGTCTTTGCCTGGAAAAGCAACAGATTAAAATTACAGACAAAGCCTTAGGGCAAACCCCTGGTGTTAAATCATATCAAGTCTCATAGCTGGATAGGGAAATAGGTAATCCTTGGGAGACTATAAATATACCACTTTTACAGAATCTTCATGAATCTCTTGCTAAAAGTAGATGTCAGGAACCCTGCATTCAGTTCAGGGAATGTGCCAGGAGGGGGAGCTTTCAGTTTAATAAAAATTAAAAAAAAAAAGGAAAGAAGGCAGTGTTAGTAATATTCTCCTCATTCATCTATATTAAACAAATTATGACTTGTGTCCAGAGCAACAGCTCTGATGCAAAAGAAATATCTCACACCTCCTCAGCAAGAACCACACTGGCTGATTTCCATATCTGCACAAGATGGATGATGATTGATGTTGACTTTCATGACATGAAACATTTCTATCTCATTTTTCAGAAGCATAAGAAGCCTGTTAATATCACCACCTGTTCATGCCTTTTTTTCTTGTACGCAGTGGTATCAGCATGGCTTAGGAGCATTCAGAATGTCATGAAATCAGAGATGGAACTGATAAAACAGATAAGGTTTTGCTTTCCAGTTTGTGGTTTTTTTTTTTTTTCTTTTCCTAGCAAGGAGTGCCTCAATACAGATAAATGCATGGAACTAAACACCTGGAGGGAAATGCTTTAACACCAGCATCATCCCCAGCCTGTTGGTCTGTGGGTGCAGGTACTTATTCCTATTTATCGCTGAGATAAAGCAGAGATTGGAACAATAGGTTTTGTCTTTATCCCAAGAGGAGCTTTCAGTGTGTAATGGATACAGATACCACACATTTTGGTGCAGTCCTATGACACAACCATTACACCATCCAGTTATTAAGCTTGCAATTTTGAGTCACTGAGGGAAAGCTGCTCTTGCTGCAAAGGTCTTGTGTGTCTGAAAGCTTCTCTGTTTTTAAACTGTATCAGCTAGTCTATTAAAATATATTATCTCTTTCTGCACATACTGTCTTATTATTATCTTTGGATTGTCATCTCACCAAGAACACTGCTATCATATTCTGCCACCTTTTGCTCTTGTAAAAAGAGGGAAGTAAATTATTCCTTATTTCAGTTATTCCAGGAAGACATTTGCAAAAAACTTAGTTTTGCATTATTCTCTAAAAAGGTCAGATTGAGCTAATTTTGTTCCATAATTAAGTCCTTCTACTGGAAATATTCCAATCATCAGCTGAACAATTGCTATTTTATATTCTGAATGGAGAGGTTATCTCTTCTTTTATCTCCTCTCTCCTCCAGAGGAGCAGACTCTAATAGAATTATGGAAGTGAGTATGTGGTCTTTTGTGAGTATAAGAAAGAGATTTATTAAGCTCATTTGGACAATTTCTCTGTTACATGTCTGTTAGACAAATATACAGACTGCCACAACCAGACCCTCTATTTTGTATTAAGATAAATTTTAATGCTTTATAGGCTTACCTGTCTGGGTAATTATTTCTGCTTGCTATTCAGATGTATCTTTTTTCTAATATGATTCCAGCATTTTTGAAGAGTAAATAAAATAATGGACTTGGGAAACTTAAAATATTAACTGAAAACCTTAGGTAGTTTGAATTATTTTAAGCTCTGGCCTAATTTGAAAATTCAAATTAATGCAGAGAGGGAGGACAAGAGAGATTTTTTTCCTAATGTAAGGGACTGCTACAAGCCAGTGATGCAGTGAGAGGCCAGGTGCAGGCTGGGGGGGTATGAAAGTGCCATTTCTCATCACAGGAGACCCAAACCATGCCTCTAATGAGTTCTGTCCCTGTGAGTGCTTGATGGCCCAGTGACCTTCGTGGCTGGATGGAAGTCAGGGGCAGAATGTCTTGCTGGGCACAACACACACAGAAAAATATCTGCCTGTGAGAAAATACGCAACAACAAATGCTACTCTAAAAATAAAGCACAAGAGCATATAGAAGCTGGTCTGACATGTGTAAAGGGCTTTTTTCCAAGAGTTGTGCCTCTGAAAGCAGCAACACTTCAGACTTTAATATTACCCACCTGTTTAGGCAAGTGTTATAATAATTTAGCTAGGTTTCCAGTTACAATTCCCTGTGCAGCCAAATGCCAGCTTTAATTTTGTTAAAAGCAAATGTTAGATTGCACAAGTATAAATGCACCAATGCATAGTGGAAGAATACAGAGTAGTTTTTGAGGAAAGAATTTGTATTCCCTCTGGATTCATTGCTTAGGACTTTAGTTCAACACCTTCTATTAATATTGAATGGTAATTGCAATGTACTGAAATTTTCCACTGCCCCTTAAACTATAGGAATGTGAGCAAGATAAGCAAATTTTAAGAGAGATGGTTAAACTTAAAGAGCACATTTGTTTTCACCTTAGCCATCTCTCTAGAATTCACATCAGCTAAGTAATCTGAATGATTTACATGGGCAGCAGCACTGTGAGCATTAATGTCCATATGATATTCATGAAGCAGAGGATACTGCTCCTTGCT